CCCCGCCCCCCAGACTCCACACCCGCCGTCTGGCCCCGCGGCCGCTTGTGTTTGCATGGTGGCTCTGTGGTCTTTGCTAACTCAAAGCCTGGTGAGGCTGTGAGGTTTCCTGTGGGCGCGTTTCCCTGACGCCAGCAGCCGGGGAAATATTTGGAGACAGCCCTGTTGAGGCTTGTGAGGTGGTTTCTCCCCCCACCCCCAGGCCCCTCCCGCCCCCAGCCACCTGGGCCTGGAGCCACCTTCAGGCCTGTTTGAAGTGGCTGGAGTGAACCCTCCGGGCAAGGGGCTGTAGTTTGCAGAGGGGCCTTTGCTGCTGAGCTGGCTGTGGGTGGACTTGCGTTTGGTTGAGAGCTGGGGTCACGGGAGGCCTTGGGGAAGGGGCCTGAGGCCTTGCAGGCAGCCGTCCCTGGAGCCGCCACTTTCCGCAGGCTGTGCCCAAGGCCCACGGCCCTCGTGAGTGTGTGAATCTGCCCAAGTTCTCTGAGTGAGGAGGGTCCGTGGGGAGGGACGAGGAGGGCCGGCAGGCGTGGAGCTGGCCGGGCCTGACTCGCGTCAGCCAGTTCTCCTCAGGCAACCTGACTGTCAGAGGCGCTGACTAAGCCTGGCCAGCGAGCCCCAGAGTGAATCAGATAAGCGGAGCCTGGGCTGGAGCGGCTTCCCGTCTTCTGCAGCCTGTCACTCACTCTCGTAAAGCGACTGGAGCCTGGAATGTGGGCGCACTACCATAGTTACCCTCTTATTTTGTTTCTGTGTTTTTCCACTTGGGATTCTCCCCCGCCCCTCTGCTCTGGCCTTCGTGGCTGCTCTGCTCTCTCTCCCTGAGCTCAGAGGGCTGCTGTGGGGCCGCTGGAGGTGCCCCAGACCCTCTCCGTGTCCCGTGTTATCGGCTTCCATCGCCGTATTGATTTTTACCATTTTCAGGGGGGCAGAAATCACTATTTCATGAGGGATGTAAATCCAGACAGCGAGGTAGAAGCCGCCAGCCTGGTCTAGATGCTAATGGGGACGCGGCTCGTTATTGTCCCAATTCTGCTCCTTCTGGAATGTGAAAATGTTTCAGTTCCCCAAACCTTCAGAACCGGAGTCCTGTGTGTTTTCTGGCCCCATGTCAAGAACTTAGATGATTGTT